CAAGGCAAGAATGTCTGCTATCACCACTTCAACTCAGCGTTGCAGTAGAGGTCCCAGCAGATGCACCAAGGCACAGAAAAGAAATAAAAATATAAAGACTATAAAAGAAAATGCAAAGCTATCATTATCCGGTGACATGATTATGTTCATAGTAAACTCATAAATAATAGGCAAATTTAGCAAAGTGCCTGGTTACAGTCATTATCTAAAAAGTAAATTGCATTTTCATATACTAGCAACTGACAATTAGAAAGCATTTAAAAATAATACTACTTACAATAGTACTGAAAAATATCAATTACCTAGGAATAAATCTAATGAAAGATGTGAAAAATCTCTACACTGAAATCTGCAAAATACTGTTGAGAGAAACTAAAGGCCATCTAATACATGGAGGTTTAAACCACATACACAGATTAGAAATTTGATGTCGGCAAGATGTTATTCTTCTGAAATTAACTGTGGATACAATGTAATCCCAATCAAAATTCTAGCAGATTTTTTTTGTGCATGTGAAAATAGATAAGCTGATTCTAAAATCTATATAGAAATATTAAGAACTTAACCAAAACCATCTTGAAAAAGAGGTCTTATGCCACCATGTATTACAATGTACCATAAAAGGTACAGTAATAAAGATTATTGTACTGGCTCTAAAACAATCAGACCAATGATTCAGAATAAAGATCAAGACATAGATCCACATGTATATGATCTCCTGATTTATGACCAGTGGGTAAAGGGCATTCTTTTCAGAAAAAATGGTGCTCTATCAGTCAAAATTAAAAATAAAAAAAGAATTTTGACTCCTCCCTCACACCATTTACAAAAATTCCAGATGTCTGTTGATAGAAAAGTAAAAAGTAAAATAATAAAAATTCTAGATAATAAAATGAAGAAAACCTTCACGACCTTAGGTAGGCAAAATTTTCTGAATATGACACAAAAGCACTAACTATAAAAGAAAAACATTGATAACTGGGTTTTATTAGAAGTAAGAACTTCTGTTCATCAAAAGATACCACTAAAAGAATGAAAAGGCAGACCACAAACTTCAATACTTTTATCTAACAAATATCTCCTATTCAAAATATGAAAACAACTCTTACAAATCATTAAGGGAAAGACAAATAGCACAATCAAAAAACAACAACAACAAAACCTGACAAGTAAAATCCTGAACAGGTAGTTCACAAAAGAAGATGTCCACAAGAATATTCAGAGCACCAATCCTCCTCAAACTCAAAAGATGGAAGAGGAGTGAACACTTCCAAACTCATTCTACAAGCCCAGCATTACCCTGATACCAAAGCCAGACGAAGACACTACAAGAAAACTACAGATCAATATCCTTTATGTACAGTGATGCAAAAATCCCCAAGAAAATGCGAGTTAACATAATTCAACAGTGTATTAAAAGGATTATACACTATGACCAAGTGGGATTATTACTTGAATGCTAGGATAGCTCAACATACAAAAAGCAATCCATATAATAAACCACATTAACAGAACAACCACATGATCATCTCAATTGATGCAGAAATAGCATTTGAAAAAATTCAAAATCTTTTCATGATAAAAATACTCAACAACATAGGAAGAGAAGAAAACTATTTTACCAGAGTAAAGCCTATATGAAAAACCTACAGCAAACGTCATACTCGGTGGAAAGACTACAAGCTTTTCCTCTAAGATGAGGAACACTTTGGCCACTTCTATTCAACATACTGCCAGAAGAAGAACACACACACACAAACACACACACAAACACACACACACACTGCTAGAACTAATAATGAATTGAGCAAAGTTGCAAGATACAGAATCAACATACAAAGTCTGCTGCATTTTTCTGCACTACCAATGAACAATCCAAAAAGGAAATTAAGAAAACAACTCTAAGGACTTCCCTCGTGGTCCAGTGGTAAAGAATCCGCCTTCCAATGCAGGGGACACGGGTTCGATCTCTGGTCGGGGAACTAAGATCTCACATGCCGGGGGGCAACAAAGCCCGAGTGCCACAACTATTGAGCTCGCGCGCCTCAACTAGAGAGCCCATGTGCCACAAACTACAGAGCCTACATGCTCTGGAGCCCATGCCACAACTAGAGAAGAGAAAACCCACACTCCACAAGTAGAGAGAAGCCTGCACACGGCAACGAAGAGCCTGCGTGCCACAACAAAGACCCGACACAGCCAAATAAATAAATATTTAAAAAAAGAAAGAAAACAATTCTATTTACAATAGCACCAAAAGGAATAAAATACTTAGAAATGAACTTAACCAAGGAAGCAAAAGGCTTGTACACTGAAACTATAAAACATTGCTGAAAGAATTAAAGAAAACATCAGTAAATGTGAAGACATCCTGTGTTTACGGACTGGAAGACTTAATATTGTTAAGATGTCAATACTATCCAAAGAGATCTATAGATTCGATGCAATCCCTATAAAAATCCTAACAACACTTTTTTGCAGAAATAGAAAAATCCATCCTAAAATTCATATGGAATCTCAAGGGACTCCAAATAGCCAAAACAATCTTGAAAAAGAACAACATTAAAGATCTCACATTTCCTGATTTCAAAACTCAGTACAAAGCTACAGTAATTAAAACAGTGTGGTACTGGCATAGAGACAGACATATAGACCAATGAACAGAATAGAGATTCCAGATACATACACGGTCAAATGACTTTTGACAAGGGTGTCAACATTCAATGGGGAAAGCACAGTCTTTTCAACAAATGGTGTTGGGAAAAATGGATATCCAGAAACAAAAGAATGAATGTGAATCCTTACCTTACACCATGTATAAAAATTAACTCAAAATGGATCAAAGAACTAAACATAACAGCTAAAACTATAAAACTTTTGAAAAAAAACATAGAGGAAAACCTTCATGACATTGGATTTGTCAATGATTTCTTGGATATGACACCAAAGCACAGGCAACAAAAGAAAAAATAAATAAATTAGACTACATCAAAATTGAAAACTTCTGTGCATCAAAGAACACAATCAACAGAGTAAAAGGCAACCCACAGAATGAGAAAAAAATATGTGCACAACATATATCTGATAAGGGGTTAATATGCAAAATATATAAAGAACTACAATTTACCAAGAAAAAAGTAAACAATCTGATTTAAAAGCAGTCAAAAGACTTGAATAGACATTTCTAAAAAGAATATATACAAATAATCAATAAGCACATGAAAAGATGTTCAACATCACTAATCATTAGGGAAATACCTACAATTCAACAACAACAAAAATAAACAATCTGATTAACAAATGGTCAAAAGACTTGAATAGGCATTTCTCCAAAGTGTATATACAAATGGTCAATAAGCACATGAAAAGATGCTCAACATCACTAATCATTAGGGAAATACAAATCAAAACCACAATTAGATACTACTTTATACACTGGAATGACTATTACAAAAAAAAACCCAGAAAAACAGAAAATAACAAGTATTGGCAAGGATGTCGAGAAACTGGAACTCTAGCACATTGCTGGTGAGAATGTAAAATGGTGCAGCCACCATGAAAATATGGCAGTTCCTCAAAATATTAAACATAGAATTACCACATGATCCAGCAATTCCACGTCTGGTTATATATCCAAAAGAACTGAAAGCAGAAATCGACCAGATATTTGTATACCCATGTTTATAGCAGCATTATTCACAATAGCCAAAAGGTAGAAACAGCCCAAATGTCCATCAGTGGATGAACAGATAAACAAAATGTGGTATATACATACAAGCGTGTGTCATTCAACCTTAAAAAGGAAGGAAATTCTGATACATGCTACAACATGGATGAACCCTGAAGACATTAAGCTAAATAAAATTAGCCAGTCACAAAAGGACAAATACTATGTGATTCCACTTATATGAGATTCTTACAGTAGTCAAATTCATAGAGGCAGAAAGTAGAAGAGTAGTTGCTAGGGACTAGGGGGAAAGGGGAATGGAGAGTTATTGTTTAATGGGTACAGAATTTTAGTTTGGGAGATGTAAAATGTTCTGGAGGTGGATGGTGGTGATGGTTGCAAAACAAGGGGAATGTACTGAATGCCACTGAACTATATACTTAACATGGTTAAAATGATACATTTTATGTTAGGTATATTCCACCACAATAAAATACACTTAAAAAAGAATGTTCAGAGATGCTTAAGAAAGAGTCAAAAACTCGAAACAATTTAAATATCCATCAACGTTTATACTGATATGTATACTGTGATATATGCATACCGTGGAGTACTATACAGCAATGAAAAAGAAAAACTACTGTGACATACAACAGTATGGCTAAATCTTCCACGAAGATTCCCTGAATCTTCGAGAAAATTGAACTAAGGAGATGCCCTTTACCAACCAAGAGAAACACTCTGTCCCTGCTGGAAATGACTTTTATAATAAGCTGCCCCCTTTTTGCAGTGCTTTAGGAGCAATTACAAGTCCCAAGTAGTCTTCTGCTCTTAATATAAGGCACCCACAGCCCCAGTCTGACATAACACAGGGAAAGGTGTAAACAGAGCAGTTTGTATCTTTCCATTAATACCAATTCTCTAGATCAAGATCCAGGAGAAATTGTTACTTTCAAACACCAAGGACATTTGTGACTCTAAAATAACAGTCCCATGACACGCTTTAAACCCACATCTACGTGGAATGGCCTTTCCCATTCAAGGTCCACATTTTCCCACTGGAGCATCACTGAGATGGGGTCTTTAGGGACTCAGACAATAAAAATGTGTAAACGGCAAGTTTTTGCCGTGGCCTCAGTTTCCACGTTCACCTGACTGCATTGCACTCCTTACTGCAGGATATTACAGGGAGGGCCTGGGGTATTTCATAAATGGCTGGAGAGCCTCTTGTTTCAGGTAACTTGCCCCAGTCTAGCATTCTAGAAGCACCATTCCTCATCAGGACACAGTCCGCATCCAGGACACCATGGAAGAATGAGTTTCAAGCACTTACTTTCATCATTAGAAACATTCCCCAGAGATGTGTGGCTAGAATAACGTTTGTTTTCACTTTCATTGAGACATCTTTCAATCCAGCTCTCTAAAAATGAAAAGAAAGAAAATCATGTTGTTGGTGTCTGTGAAGAGAAGAGAACATCATCAATGCGCTAGATTTAAATGCCCATCAACTTTCATCTGAGATCTGCCCAGACTGGCGTTGGATTTGACAGGAAGCCCCGCGTGCACCATTGCTGATGAGACTTGGCTGAGTAGTTTGGAGGCAAAATGGTAATTTGAAGCCCCACTTGAGTATTTCTTGGTCAAATTCTACTAATTCTGGAGTATTCATAGTACCAACTGAGGATTATGTTTTTTCAAAAGAAGATACATTCCTGAGAACTAGTTTGTAAAACAAAATTTGGTCAACTGAATCACTAGTGGTGGTTTGGAGACTTGTAAACTAGCAGCAGAACCCTTTCTTCAAAAGAAAACAAAAAAGAAAAGCAGATACAACCCTGAGGGCCCTGGTTGAAGAAGCGGAGGGCAGGGAACCTTGCAGCTTCCCACCCTTTGCCAGCGACCCCTGAAGGGGCTCTTCCAAGCATAGACTGAAGGTCACTGCAGGAGGAGGCATCAAAAGCTCGGTAATAGTCATCCATTACTTTTGAAATCCAGAAGACCATGGATTTTTTAAAATCCAGTTCCAAAGGCTACAAATGTACTTTCCACAATGTAGCATAATGCTTATTCTATCATCTAGACCAGGGGTCCCCAACCCCTGGGCCGAAGGACCAGTACCGGTCCATGGCCTGTTAGGAACCGGGCTGCACAGCAGGAGGTGAGAGGCGGGCAAGCGAGCGACGCTTCATCTGTATTTACAGCTGCTCCCCGTCACTCACATTACGGCCTGAGCTCTGCCTCCTGTCAGCATTATGGTGAGTTGTATAATTATTTCATTATATATTACAATGTAATAATAATAGAAATAAAGTGCACAGTAAATGTAATGCGCTTGAATCATCCCGAAACCAGCCCTCACCCCCCCGCCACCCCCATCAGTGGAAAAACTGTCTTCCACGAAACCGGTCCTGGTGCCGAAAAGGCTGGGGATCACTGATCTAGACCACCCACTATTCATTCATTTATTCCACAGCATCAGCTAAGTACATCATTTCTGCTATAATGCTTGTTTTGAAAACACCAATGCGTTCAATGCAAGTGATACATTAGGGAACAATTTGTGCCTAGCACAAACTTTCTGTTTGCTTATGCTTGATTTCTTCCTTAAAAAACATCAAACGAATGCAGAAAACTGCACATAGCTGAACTGAGCCCTGTAGGAATATGCAAAAATGCACACGTGTTCACACCTCAAACATCTACCAGCTACTTGAGTTTACAGTGTGGGTTGTGAGCCACACCTGCCCAGATAACCCACGTTCTAACATTTCACAATAACACACAAGCTGCAGCCCTTCTGAAGTCCACTTCCAAAAGCAAACTTCAGGGCTTCCCTAGTGGCAGAATGGTTAAGAATCCGCCTGCTAATGCAGGGGACACGGGTTCGAGCCTTGGTCCGGGAAGATCCCACGTGCTGCGGAGCAACTAAGCCCGTGCACCACAACTACTGAGCCTGCGCTCTAGAGCCCACAAGCCACAACTACTGAGCCTGAGCTCTGGAGCCCACGAGCCACAACTACTGAAGCCCACGCACCTAGAGCCCATGCTCCGCAACAAGAGAAGCCACCACAGTGAGAAGCCCGTGCACTGCAACGAAGTGTAGCTCCCGCTCGCTGCAACTAGAGAAAGCCCGCGTGCAGCAACAAAGACCCAACACAGCCAAAAATAAATAAATTAAATAAATTTTAAAAAACGTATTATAAAAAAAACTATTAAGGATTCGTAGCGCTTCAAAAGCAACTTCAAGTCCAAGGTGAAGTGTCATATTTATTGTATTTATGCGCCTCTTAACCATTTAACATGTGTAAAACTGTGCTATCCTTTCTATTAGGTTCCTATCTTTTTTCCCATGCGTCACTGACAAAGTTTTTGAGTGTTGTGCCCCTAGCTTATTATTCCAGTGATCTCTGTACTTTTTATTGTGCAATTTTGTAGAATGATGGTGATTTGGGGGAATGCATATGTGGTATTATAGCAGAACTGACTATACCTATGGATGTGTGCTTTGAACAGTGCTGTCTCCCCCTGCCTTCTTTATAATATGGGAGCTAGCATTTATTGAACCCCTATTTTAACACGCCAGGCCCTTTACATATGTTATCTCATTGAATTTGGACAGTTCTCTGAAGTAAGGATTTTCATCTCCAGTTTCCCTAGAGAGCAACTGAAGCTTAATTGAGTAATGTGACGCCTCGTAATTCAAAGAGCCAAGGAAAAGATCATTACTTTTCCTTGGCTCTTAGTAACATATTGTAAAAGGAAGCCATGCTAACGCTGGCGAGTAAGCTGTGTAGTGAGGGGAAAGCAAACGTCAACAGCAAGGAGAAATGTTAGGGTTTTGGTTTGTATTTTATGTCCCAACAAACTGCTCTTTTAAAAGCTGCTTCCAAAATTGTAAATAAGTAGGAGAGAAATATCAGGGGAGGAACAGGAGCCAGATTGTTAAAGAGTATATGGAAATCTGGTATTTCTAAGGAAACACTGAGCTGCAGAGAGATTCAAAACATTAAAACGCTACCCCCTTCCAGATTTCAAATGCACAACATAGAAACAAATGGCCTGTAATGTTTTCAAAGCTGTGATGGCACAGGATGGGTGTTTCTCATCACATCTTATGCAAAACCACATCTGGATACAAATCTCCGGGATTCTTTTCAGAACTCTCTAGAATGTCTCTACTCAGATCTTCTAACCCTTTCAAGTCCTGGCACATTTTCCCTGGCAACAGCCATGGCTGATTTTGGATGGCGTCCCCTGAAATCTGCGGTCCCTCCCTCCACCAAAGCACACCACCAAAAGCAATGTCTATTGTTCTGGGCCAGTCCCTGGTCTTCCCAGCTAGGTGTGCACACCTTTGCACTCTCACGTGCATGTAGGCACACAACATTCACACGTACACCACCACCCTCTTTCATCAGAAACAGGGAACTAAGGCAACACTCTCCCTCTCACCCATCTGCCAGTGCCAAGATCAGGCCTGCCATCGCTGGAGTCCTGGAAGGGCCTACTGTTGCAGGTGAGAGTTCCCAGTGATTGGTGGGGCACACGCTCTGAAGAACTCATGGCAACATTCCAGAGAAGAGCTGGCTTTGAGCACCATGTGGGCCAAGAGAGGCAACACCCACCCACGAGAGTTCAAGTCAAAGAATTTTGCTGATGGCTGCACCTCTCCCCCCACTGCCCAGCCTCGACCCTGGAGAAAGGTGAAAGCAAGGTTACAGAAGGGAAAGAGGGTAGAGAGAAGAAATCTCACCAAGTACTCCCTTCCCCCACCCACTGCCCCCACATAGGGCTCTCTGACTCCTGGCTTATGCCCGTAGCCACTCTGCTACCCAGCTCTGCTCCCAGGAGCAACACAGAGTAAGTTTGGTCTCTGTTGCAGACGGCAGATATAGGGAGGAGCCACCATGTCTCCATTTTTCTTTCTTTTTCCTTTTTACTTATTTATTTATTTTTAATTTATTTATTTTTGGCTGCGTTGGGTCTTTGTTGCTGTGCACAGGCTTCTCTCTAGTTGTGGCGAGCGGGAGCTACTCTTTGTTGCGGTGCGCAGGCGGTGGCTTCTCTTGTGGCGGAGCACGGGCTCTAGGCGCACGGGCTTCAGTAGTTGTGGCACAAGGGCTCAGTAGGTGTGGCTCACGGGCTCTAGAGCGCAGGTTCAGTAGTTGTGGCTCACAGGCTTAGCTGCTCCGTGGCATGTGGGATCTTCCTGGACCAGGGCTCAAACCCGTGTCCCCTGAACTACCAGGCGGATTCTTAACCACTGTGCCACCAGGGAAGCCCTTGATGTGGACCATTTTTAAAGTCTTTACTGAATTTGTCACAACACTGCTTCTGCTCTATGTTTTGGTCCCTTGGCCCCGAGGCATGTGGGATCCTAGCTCCCCGACCAGGGATCGAACCCACACCCCCTGCACCGGATGGCGAAGTCCCAACCACTGGACTGCCAGGGAAGTCCCTGTCTCCATTTTTCTAGTCAAAGTACTCCACTTGTTTCAGCTCTTTCTTGGGAGAAATTGTTCCCACTTCTTTGCCATCCTGTTCATCTATTTCTGGCTGTCTTCTATGTCTGTTTGAACATGTGGCACCCAGGATGAGCTCTGAGGGTTCAGATGGGGTCTGAGCAGTGCCAAATACAGCAGAACCATCACATCTATTGCTCTGGACATGGGGGTTTCCAGTGCATTCAAAGGTCTTGCATTCCAGACTGCATGGATGCAACACTCTGAAATATCTCTACAGGCCATGGGCCTTGGAGCCCTTTGACGTTTGTCTTCTTCCCTAGGGGGACCCTCAACAGTGGCATCTGAAACTCGTGTCCCATAAGTTAGGTTGCTCCACAGGATTGGAAGGCCTCTATTTAGGTCACCTGAAGTAAACTTTATATACTTTAAAACTACTAATAATGGATTTTTGTCTTGCAAAGATCAAGAATTACTCAACCAGAATGACAGGTATACTGAATTTTTAATAAAGCACTGTGTTCATCTATCTTACTTATTACATACATTAAGTGACTTAATAAAGGCCACCATATACTGAGCCCTTATAAGCATTATGCAGATGCATTCCATACACCATCATACTTAATCCTCATAACAGCCCTATAAGGTAGGTTCTATTAATATGCACATTTTAGAGATGAGAAAACTGAGGCTCAGAAAGATTAGGTGACTTGTCCAAAATCACCCAGCTAGTAAGAGGTAGGGTTAGGACAAGCATTCAATCTCGGGTCATAACCACAACGCTGTCTCCAAGTGCACCCTGAGCTCTCCTTGTCCTGTGTCGCATATGATCTCCAAAACATGGTGCCAATACTGCAGCACTGATCACAGTCTGCCTTGCATTACAACTTTTGCTAAAACTCAACTTACATATTACAATTTTTGCTAAATTCACTTACATATTTCTTTGCAAGCC